TTCCGAAGTACGGAAAATTATTGTAAAAGAGAAAAAATAAAGGGTTTTGTATACCCTTCTTGTGTATCCTGTCTACTTCCCACAGTTTTGAACATAGCTTTAGTAAGCTCTCTGTTCCGAGTCAGGTCCTTGCATGTTCCCGAAGAAGGTAAGACGGAAAATTGAACCTGATAAGCATATCTGTAAGTTATTGCGATACGGTGTATATTTTAGTTTTTTCTGGGGTTCCTCGATGTTTGTATATGTGCCTATGCTCAGGCCTTTCGTTTTTGAACTCTGACAGCTGTCGCTAGACAACAGTTGAATAACTATCATTATTAGCAGTTGAATTTCTATAAATAATCATTGGAATGAGTGAAACGTTTTCATAGCATGTAATGAGAATAAATTCCAAAGCTCTACGTAGCTTTACATTTCGCCAAACGATAAACGATACAACTAATTGCTGCAGAAAAAAATACCTGAAATGAAAAGACCAAGGAAATGTCTGCAGACGTCGATACTGATATTTTTAGAAAATAAAAGTGAATTATGATAAATATCCATTTTTAAAAATTATTCATAATAAAAACATTTGAATTTATAAACTGCGTTTTATTTGTTGAAAAACAAGACGAAGAAATTTTTTTTTTGAACTTATAAGCACTTTTTTGTATGCATTTAGTTTTTCAATTAGTTCGATCTCAAACAGTATGGGATAATGGCAGAACCAATCAGCCAGACTATGAAAGGTGTTGCTATATCTTAGTTTTAAGTTAATCTGTGTGAAATATTTTATTTTTCAATTTAAGTTTAAATTACAGTTTATTTTTAATCAAGCTCAAATCCCTTCACCATTACTGGGTATTTTCGTGCTTGAAATAGTATAGCAAAACAAAAGACTTTTTTCTTTCCTTTTAATTTAAAATTATAATTTATTTCAAACATAATATAATTCATATGAATTGTATTTCATCTTTGTTTTATTGCTGTACTGAAGAAAGAAATGCTTTCCATTAATACGCCAAGTTAAACAAATTATCGCCAGATGTGCAACCAAAATAAGGAAATCCGACATTATGGGATAGTTGTGCATATATACAACTTGCAGAAGGGGAAAAACTGCCTAAAGTTGTTAGGTGTTCGGTTATTTGCATCTCTTGCCTTAAATGGGGGGAGGGAGTTTTCGGCTCTAAGTCCACTGTTTTCATTTTCCGATCAACTTCCACCGACTGAAATTGGAAATCATCGAAATCAAAGAACTCATAAATGCGAAAGAACTTTTCCTCTCGCCTTAAAAAGTACAGGGGGTCTTCAAACTTGCCGAGAAAAATTGAACGGTTACTACTTAGTTTTACCTTTTGAAGTCATATAGTTACGTGAAGAACAGTAAGAAATGCAAAGAAAATAAAAGGTACTACTAAATACAAATATTGGCATTAGAAACATCTTTCATTAAAGTATAAGAGCAAATAGTATTATAATAGCATTATAAATTGGTTAATTATAGAGCATATGAATTATATTTTCCATATCTGTTAACCGTATTGTTAATTCATCATCTTTGTTTGATTATAATAGTAATGGGCTTGAACTAGACCGGAAAATTTAATGTAATTAAGTGGCGTGTATACGGTTATTCGGTACCATATTATGTTAAAAATGTGTTAGAAATATATTTTGTTGATTAAAGTAATCATGTAGATGTTTATAGAAATTATTAGGTAGATTATATATATATATATATATATGTTTCCTGTGAGCTAGATGTGCTATTAACTAAATTAGTGATAGCATTAAAAATAAATTTAAATGCAATTTCATTGCTTTTAAATTGCTGAACTAGTTAAGCAAAATAACGTTTTAATTTGAAACGTAAATTAAAAAAAATATACTGCATCTAATGATAAACCTTTGAAGTATGCCAATTTTCCAAGCAGGTTGAATGATAAGTCAGATCTATACACTTTGAAATGATAATGTTTTGTCAAGTCTCATAAATAATAAATGCCACTGAAACAGAAACGTAAGGAATGCAGCGGAACGATAGTACAAAAAATCGAAGAGTGTAGGCACTTTAATGCCAGCGGCAAATATATATATATACATATATGTATGAAATGAGTGTTAAAGATGTAAAGTTTCTAATCAAACTAAACAGCATAAAGGGGAAAATAATAAAGAGTAAATAAAGACTTAAAAGGAAATCTATAACAATAATATTACTATCCGTTTGGAATTATTTACGTATAATCAATTTTAAATAAATTTAAATTATGATATTAAGAAGACTATATAGCTTATCTGAAAAACGGTAATATAAACTGCCCTACAAATTAATATACCTTCCCTCAATAATTAAGATTTAATAATTAATATATTATCATCTTCTTAGTGTAAATCACTTTTTTACCAAATAAAAAAAAATGAATTAAAAAGTTTACTTTTCAAAAATTCATTAATTTCTATTTTTGAATTATTGGTTTTAAACGGTTGGGTTTGAATTTTTGGTTCTTTCTTCCCTTTTTAATTGCTTAAAAACCCGACGATATAAATACGATATAATATAAATAATATTATAACCCCGACGATATAAATACGATATAATATAAATATTAGGGAATTCGGAATTTTTTTTATTAATCATGAAAATGCTGCTATTAATCATGAAAATGATGCTATTAATCATGAAAATGACGCTATTAATCATGAAAATGCCGCAGGTGTTCATGATTATCAGTTATTATTAATTGAATGTGTATCACAAATTAAATGTGCGTCGAAGTATGTCGGTTAGAGTAATTGGAAAAGAAAATAAATATTTAGACGTTTCTAATATTAAAATATTGAATTTGTAAGAAAGTTAAATAATTTTAAAACAATTTCAGTGATTTAAAATGGAAAGCTTAATAAGCTATACATTGCAATAATACTGGTGTGAATTTAGAACCGTTTAACAAACTGAATTTTTAGATATAATAAAGAGAATTTAAAAATTAAATTAGAGGTATTTACCTGAAATGTTAAATTTGAAAGGTAAAACCATTCCACTAACTAAGAATTGTTAATATTTATCTAGAAACGAAAACTAATTTAAGCTGTGCTACAAACTAACATTAGTACCTTCTCTCTAATCCGATATTTGATAGGTTGTTTATTTATATATATATATCAGTTTTATGTATGTCATTAATCCGTCAGTTGTATGTATGTCATTAAGCCGTCAGTTGTATGTATGTCAAAATTGATATATATATCAAAAGCTAAAAACTACCACTTGGAAATTTTTGAATTCCTGGGGAGCATAAACAAGTTCTGGCATATTACTCTCTTAAGCATGATAAAACTGTAAAAGAAACTCATTTTATAATTTATAGTTATATAGACTTTCATTTAATAATTGTTTTGTATTCACAATTTTCACAATATGTGAAAAGCGAAAATAAAGGCTTGTAATCTCAATGAAATATCTCATTTATAAAGACAAATGACTTTTTCTAGCAATTCAAGTGCTTAAAAAGAGTGGAAAGGAAAAGCAAAATCGTGCAGTTCGTGTTTTGTCTTAGTTATATTCATCTTTCTTATCGTAAGATGAGATATGGAAAAGTTGGCTATTGTTCGTTGGTGTTGGAGGGTTGTAATATAGATAAGGCCTCCTAAATTAAATTTCGCACACTTAGTAGACTACCTTTTATATCATATATGGATTGCTCTTAATTTTTTCTCTGTATTTATGAGTTATGGTGGTATGTATCATTCCACACAGGTTAATAAAATTATAATTCACAGTTTCTGTGGAATCCGTGATTTCATGAAGGTAGAGATAATTTTGGACATGAGAGTTACTTGCTTAAAACACCATGAGCACCGTTATACACATAGATGCAAAGATACACACATATATATGCGTTAGTTTTGAGTTTTATTATGTTTTATTTCTTCATCAATCACTTTAGTTGAATAGATCCTCACCTTATTTGAGTACATTAAATTCTATGTAACAAAATATTACATTTGCTAATAACACTTTCAAGCATAGTACAATTAAAACTTGTACACTTAAATGCCATTTCAAATTAAAACCGCATTGTTACAAATGATGCATTTTGTATACTAACACATTTTGTAATTGGTTTTCCTTTCAGGGTTATTTATATTGTTAACATTTAGATAATATGAACATAATTCTGACACATGCATCTATTTTCAAACAGAAAAGTGCGATTGAACATTATACATAAACTATGTATTTTGTGATTAAATGTGTTTCGAGGGCAGATTCAGAGAAATTGTGAGAAGAACACAAGTTCGGAATTTTAAATTTAACTGGAAATCCATTTAACAGTGTACTTTTAAGGAATAATTGCAACTTTTTTTAAGGTTTATGATGCGTGAATTGTGTAAAATTAATTAACTACAACAATTGTAGATTATTTAATGAAAAATTAATTAAGGTTTCAGTGACAGAAAACTGAGATAAAATTTCCGAAATATTTTTTAAAACAATAAATATTTCCTTTGCGATTAATAGATGTAACACAATTAAGCTCTAACTGCCTTATACTTGAGTGTGTAATTCACATATTATGTTTTATTCTTTTTATGCATATATTCATATACAGTATGAAAATGAAACAGTTTTTGTTTCAGTGTTAGGATACCTTTATTACCTCCTGTAACAACTAACAGTGTGAATATGCTATGCATTCTGCTGCTTAAGAATGTCATCTTCCCCAAAATTTAAATATCAAGAGAAAACTGAGAAAATTGGAAGAATACATAAAATTTTGCCTCTCATTTATGTTTTAACCTAATATTTATAAACGCGTTTCTTTATGATCTATTTTAAAGTATTTCTCTCTAATTTGAAACATTTTAAAATCAGGTATTACAGTGTTGGAATATCATTGAAATATGACAGAAGTCTTATGTGATATAACATTGAACAAGAATGCTGCGCATGAAGTAGTCAAGTAGATTTTAGTTGGTTAACTAAACTTAGAAGAATAAACTGTTCTCACCTGTGTTATACTAACTGACGAAATAATTTACACTTCGATATTCTTAAAAAGCAGCACACATATCATTCTGCTGTCCTTTATCATGTTCTATAGCAATAATAGTTCTCGATTTTTTAACTGCAGCTTGTTCAGACTCAGTTTCTTTTCTTGGCAGTCTCCCGCAGTTGCATCAAAAATAGATCCTCGACGATGATTCTTCCTCCCCTCCCCATTTCTAATAAGCCAAACTAAGAAATCCTCTAGTTACTCTTTCAGACAATATCAGGAAATGAATATAAATCAAGTATGATACTCAATTTCTGTGCGAATTCGAAAGTAATAATAAAATATTTATTTTATTTATATATTTGTGGTACCTGCTTTCTGTTAATTAAATTTGCTTATTCGCCTTAGATAAATTTAGGTTTTACAGAATACTGGACAATATATTTTATTGAATTTAGTGAATTATTGAGATATTTCTAAAATACAATCAAGAAAAAAATGTAAAAATAAATATGAACGATTTTAACGAAACCTAAATATCCACATAACTCTATCAGAATTAACAGGATCCAGATATCAAAACCATCAGGATAACTGGCTCTTGTTTCTACCGAAGGGAAAAAAGTATTTGCTAGAATACAAGTTTTCATTTATAGTATTTTGTTGCAATAAAAATTATACAGTTATAAAAAAAAACACTTTCATTTTTTTAAATCAAAATGAAAACGATACTGCTAACGATACTAACTTTGCTTTTCATTGTCAAAACAACACGTTATAGATTTTCGGAGGCGTGTCAACTAAGTACAAGTAAATTTACATTTAATTAAAAAATAATGCTCTATCGTCAAGATAAAAAAAAATTCATGCACAAAGAAACAACGAAACATGCACCATTAGTAAAGGAATGTTGGTTATGGCTAAACAGTGACACACGAAGTAAGCAAAGAAAACTGCTCTCTATATAAAACCTAATCAGGACAACATAGAATTTTCTTTTCTTTGTGCCCGAATCGATACAACAGATAGTAATGCCAAATTTCAGGTAAAACTATGTAAAATATATGTTTGCAGTATATATTTAAATACCATAAATAAAAAAATAAAATGCTCGGAATTTTTACGAGCAATCTGCATAATAATTTTCTTGCGTAAACAGTTAAAAAGTCATTCAAATAAATTTAATTTTTAAACTCATTAATAAGCTTTGAAGTAATTTTATATCTAAATTATAGAAACAGGTTGAAAAAGTACTAATAATGAGCTAAACTATCAGTCTAAAACCAAATCTTTGAAAAATACTGCTTATTTTTCAAAGTAATTATTTATTTAATAACAAACTTATTTATTTAAATGAAATATAAAACAGAAACATTTACGTAGTTCTCATTAAACGTCATTACATTATTCCATCATTTACACGCATTGTATAATGCATGAATACCAAGGCCAGTGCGTTTAATATAGAGACAGGTGCAATATTCCTTAAATATGACTCTAACCGTCTATTAGATCGGTTCCTTTAATGTAGGTAAAGCACATAAAAGCTATCTACTTAAGCTTCATTCCAATTTTAACCAAGAACATCTCAAGGGATGAAATCCATGTTCTTTTATCTTTCAGTTTCTACTATTGACCTCTCAAGCGGGATATCAGATGGACAAATGTTAAGGGCTGCTATTTCGGAAATACTCTACATTCCACACACCTCTGGCACTGTATGCAGTTGGAGGCTAGGTTTTTAGAGTGTGTTGTTGCTGTTGAGACGTATCTCCCTTGTCTGACAGTAACATCAGCACAAGCCCATGAAATTCATCGTCACAAGGAGTACAAGATTGCGCCTGTCGTTGGCAAAAGCCTAGAGCACTCACTATACAAGTGACAGTACGACTTTGTTCAGTTCCGCGCCCCCCGCCCCCAATTTGATGGAGAGCACCCCGGGGGGGCGACGGATTCGCAGGTCTCCTACCACTCTTCCCCGACCACCAACCTCTTGAGAGGTCTTTCCGCTCACCGCATATTTAGAGTGCCCCCATGTCGCGCAGACACTATACATTTACAAACATACATACCTTTTCCGGGATTCGAGCCGCATGCAACCAATGTATGAGGGAAAGGAGAAGTAATGGTACCGAATGGTTCTAAGCATTCATGCTGGATCCCTTCTTAAGAATACAGCCGGTTAAAAGATAAAATGTGCTTAGTACTCTATGGAATGTGTCTCATTTATTTATGTATGCTCTTTGTGAGAAATTGGATGTTATATATGCGCGAAGGATTGTATGGCTCCAGTATTTAATTAAAATAATGCTTTTTTGAGAGTATGGGCTTTCTTAGATTAAATCATACTAAAATGTGTTAATTGTTTAATAAGTTGCTATGTTAAATCATAAATGGGAGTTTCTGTCAGTATTACCTGTTATGTATGATATTTATGCATAACTGCTTTTAATATTTATGAGAAATTAAATTTAAAAACGCTGTAAGAGGTCATTGTTAAGTAATGTTAATTTGAAATGCGTGTCTCAATTTAGAATGTGTTAAAACTTTTAAGTTGGGTCATTATTTGGAATTCATATCAATATTTTGTGTTATGTATCGTATTTATGAAAACATTAATTTGCTGCCTATTAAAAATTAAATGGCAGATGTACTCAAAAATGATGTAAGTGTTCAATGTTAGGTAATGTCAATTTGAAATGTGTATTTTATGTTAGAACGAATGAGTTGAAACTTTTAATTTAAGTTGGATCATTATTTGGAATTTATGTCATTATTTACTGTTATGCAAAATTTTATTGCTATGTATAATAAATTAAATAATACTTTCTAAATGCTATAAGAGTTAAGTGTTTGTCAATTTGAAATGCGTTAACAATGAATATGTTAAAAAGCTTTGAAACTCATAAAAAGAAATGGTTGTGCTGGTTGAAAAAAAAATATTCCAAGTTGAGAAATTTTTATATTCCGCATTGGGAAAAAAGCGACAAAATTTCATTTCCATGGCTGAATATTAACTCTATATGTATTATACACATGTTTTTTGAGTTCCCCTTCACAAATGTAACTATAATTCGAATTTAAAAAAATACAGTACAGTATATATATTCTTTTCTGTAGTTAAAAATAATTCCATCTCATGTACCTTGTTCAGGAAGTCAAAGTTGTGATAAGTTCGAATATAGGGGTGTTTATGAGGTTCTTCGGTAAATGGGTGGCATCCTTTCAAGAATCCGAGTGATGGTTTCACATGAACAAAATAAAGGTTTAGAGTATGTTTAGTGGTTTAAGGATGTGTACAAGACAATTAAAGATATTTTTGTAAAGTATTTCAAAAAATCAATCTGTGTTATTAATATAAATGAATCCTTCTGCTGAATAAAAAGAAGTGTTCTGAATATTTTCGTTTAAATGTCTGTAGAGTAAAATAATAAGGAATGAAATACTTTTGGTGCGTATCTCTGAACTAAACTGGGTAGAAATACAACATATATTGATTGGAGTGGACTTTGCCAAGGAAATTTATTACTCCTTATAAGATTTTTTCAAACTCAGTAGGTCTTATTACAAAAAAACTTGTAATAAGACCTACTGAGTTTGAAAAAATCTGTATTTACTTTTGGGGAAAAGGAGTCAGAACTGCAATAAGAATAGGTTTTAAAAGCAGGATAAGAGTTTAATATGAGGAAAATTGTGTAAATTTTAAGTGTAAAATTTAAATTTGTCAGGCATAGTTTGGTGAACCCTTTGAATAAAAGTAAGATTTGTAAAAGAAAATCTGAGATGTTTTGTATAGTGTTCCAAAAAGTTAATGCAGTCATTACAGTACATCAGAAGAAATAGCACTAAGTATCTCCCATTAAGTAGCATAAAAAGTAAGAAATGTAATATTCCAATTAAATTATATAGAATGAATATTGTACTTATTTGTTTAATGTTACAGAAAATATTATACATAAATCCACCAGAGGGAAATTATATAAATGCAAATTCCAGCTTAAATTTCGTAGACAGACAAATATATGTTTACTCTTGGAGAAAAGGAGATGTAACATCAGTAAGTATCTAAAACAAGATAAAAAGTTAGGGATAAAATAAGAATGTAACAAGAAAAAATTTTAAAAAATAGAAAAAATTCACATTTATAAAAACGAAAAAATGAAAAAGTGAAAAGAAAAATTACAAATTTACTTTTCGGAGTAAAATACATAAAAAAAAAAATAAATAAATAAAAACAAAATCTGCGTTTTGTGAAAACAGAAAAATGAAAGAAAAATAAACATATGAAAATAAATATTGCTTTTGCAAAATAAAGGAAGTGAAAAATGTAAAATCACATTTTTAATGGAAAGAGAAAAAATAAATATCACTCTTGTAAAATAAAAAAAAAGTTAATCGTAAAAGTTAATTATAAAGTAAAAAAGTGAAAAGGAAAAACTAAACTTGTGGAAATAAATATTATATTTGTAGAAATAAAATTGTGAAAAAATTATTTGCTAAAATTAAAAGCAAAATTTACATTTGCAAAAATGTATAAATGTGGAGGAAATATTGATAAATTAAATTATGTAAGAAAAGAAAGAAAAAAAAGAAAACAATAAAAAATATGCTTGGGAAATTAAAGTGAGAAATTTAAAATGTGTAAAAATCTTACATTTAAAACAGCAAAGGTTAAATTTAAAGTAATGATTTAGAAAGCCAAAATAAATCTATGTCCGCTCCAAGAAACAAAAAACACCCTGAATGGTTGAAATCAGAGGAATATGATTAGCCAGAATCTGATTGGTTGTTAAGATTGTATTCGTTCGCCGCCGCGGAAGCACAAAGGTGTGAAGCGATTTCTTTGTCCAGACTTGCGTATGTGCAAGCCTCCAGTATAGTAATATCATGATAGTTTCCGCTGCACAAGGTCAGTGAACAAAGAGAGTGGACAATGTCAGAATACAGGATCGTAAAGGACAGAAATATGGCTTTGTTATAATGCTCAGGTCTCCCATGCAAGAGATGAAGGGTTCGATTTCAGCTTTTTTAAAATTCAGGAAAAATCGCACTAAATTCAATAAAAATTAATTAAAGCTAATAATTAAAATAATAACTTAATTAAAAACTAATGTCATTCGAAACATGTGGTTCAAGACGTCGTTGTCACAAAAACAAAAAATATT